GTGTGCAGTGTGTCCCCACCAAACTCACCTCCATCTGTCTCCCTTGCCTCCTTTCAAATATTGTCAGCAGGGCTGGGAAGGTAGCTCAGTGGTAGAGTGCTTGCCTTGCATGCATGAGGCTCTGGGTTCCATTCCTCAGCACCACATAAGCAGAAAAAGCCGGAAGTGGTGCTATGGTTTAAGTGGTAGAGCGCTACCCTTTTGCTGAAGAGCTGAGGGACAGCGCCCAAGCAGAGTTCAGGCCCCACGACCGACCCCCCCCTCCAAAAAAAATCAAATATTATCAGCAGGTTCCTATTGTTCTGTTCCTATATGTGCAAATAAACTACTGTGCCCATACTCATCCTCAGTGATCTCTCCTCAGCAGCCTGTCTTAATTTACTGGGCTCTTTTAGGTATATAAATTGTACCAAGAGGGCTGGGAAGGTGGCTCAGTGGTAGAGCGCTTGCCTTGCATGCATGAGGCCCTGGGTTCGATTCCTCAGCACCACATAAGCAAAAAGAAAAAAGCCGGAAGTGGTGCTGTGGTTCAAGTGGTAGAGCGCTAGCCTTGAGCTGAAGAGCTGAGGGACAGTGCCCAGGCCCAGAGTTCAGGCCCCATGACCGGAAACCCCGCCCCCCCAAACAAAAAATTGTACCAAGGGGTTTCTTTGTGGTATTTCAGGCATGTGTATAAGCATTGATGAGAATGACCCTCTCTGGTGCTAGGGATGGAGTATGCCAGGCACACGCTGCTCTCCTGAGCCCCACCTTTCCTTGCCTGGGCTGGCCTTCAGCTTGCCATCTTCCTACCTCCAGCTTGGAATACTCCTGCCTTCACTTCCTGATCCTCCTGCTCTCCCTTCTGAGTAGCTGGGATTGTAGGCATGAGCTACCACCCCTGCCCTCTCCCTAGAGTGTTCAAATAGCTAATTCCATGGGGCCAGAGGGGTGTGTGACTTGCAGAGCCTCGGCCCTGTCCTTCCTAGGCCCACTGGCTCTGCAGTCATAGTGCCACCAGGTGGTGGCCGACCGCACACCAGCAGAATGTGGCTTATGAGCAGTTAACCCCTTCACTTTCCAAATGCTGTCCAGAATTCAGATCATCTCAGCTTCGCACTCTTGATTTCAGGTGGGGAAACTGAGGCATGGGGTTTTTTTTTTTTTAGCCATCTTAGATTCCAGGGCTAGAAGTAGAGGTGCTGGGCCACTTGTACCACAGGCTGGACCTTGCTCAGCACTAACATAGGGAAGAAGATCACACTGCAGGTGCTGGGCTGTGTAGAGTGAAGTTTAGAGTACTGTTTCTGTGAATTCCAGTTCCTTTCTGACCAGAGTGATGCTGAGAATCCTAAGGAAGGCAGGGGCTGTCTATAGTGCTAAGCCAGTCCATAGATCAGTATTGGCACCCACAGTCATAGTTTCAGGTACGAGATAAACCAGGAGTGTCTTACCTGGGCCTGGCGGTCCCCTCAGGAGCTGGGTTATCACCAGATTTGCTTTAAGGTGTGCAGGGTCAGGATAGCCTGGATACCTGGCTAACCCTTTACTGTGTGCTACCTCAAACCCCTTTGCACCCAGACACTCATGGTGCTTCAGCCTCTTTCTTCACCTGCGGCCCTCCTCCACTAGACACTTCTCCATTCCCATCCCCTGGCTCACCCTGACACTCCTGTTCTCTTTACCACCCAGCTTCTCCCTGTTGACATGGCTTCTGCTCTGAGCCTGCCCGCCTGTGGCCTGCTCCTGAGCTCAGAGAACCATCCTTGCTCAGAAGACTTACCCATGGTGTATCTTTGGGGGTGCATGCTAATCACAGTGCCTGGAACAGGCTGAGGTGTTACAGGCAGTGTCTGTGCTGACAGCGTGTAGTCAGCCAGCCGGGCCCCCGTGTGAGGCAGCTTCTCCTGTGTGATTTAAATAGTGTGCAAAGAGCTTTTTATAAGTGCTCTTCTGCATATTTTTAGCTGCAAGTTACTAATAGTGGAAGCCCTGGAGCTAGGTTGAGTTCGTGATGCGTAGGTGTAGCTGTTCCACGGTATAACCAGCCTGGCTCCAGGTGTTTCCACTGTGTCTGTCACACAAGAGTGGGTGTGAGCGCAGGGCAGGACCCTGTGTTTCCATGCTCCAAGCGACTGCTTTGCTGGGGCACTGTTGTGTGTATTGGGGCGCTCTCAGGAAAACTGGCAAGGGAGGAGGACTGGAGCCTGAACTGGGCCAGGCCCTTGGGTTTTCAGCTGTGGACTTGTTTATTCTTTTTTTGGGGGGGGGGTGTCCGGTCATGGGGCCTGAACGCTGAGCCTGGGTGCTGTCCCTCAGCTCTTCAGCTCAAGGCTAGCGCTTTACCACTTTGAGCCACAGCGCCACTTCTGGCTTTTTTCTTTTTTGCTTATGTGGTGCTGAGGAATCGAACCCAGGGCCTCATGCATACAAGGCAAGTGCTCTACCACTAAGCCACCTTCCCAGCCCCCCCTTGTTTATTCTACACAGGGGTAGAGACTGTACTTATAATAGTTTTGAGGCATGGAGTGCTCTGGACTAACTTGCCCAAAGACCCAGAGTGGCAGAACTGAAGGTCTTTCCATGGTGTGAGGAGTGGCTTTGTCCCTGATGAGTAGCTTTGGGCTACACCGCCTGGCTGTTTAAGGGACAGGAAGATGGTGAGGGCTCCGTGTGAGCCCCCCAAGTTCAGGGCTGTGGACCATGCAGTGGAGTACAATAGAAGATTTACAGCAGGGGACCACGGTCTGGTCCCCACCTGAGAGAGGGGCAAAGATGGAGTGTCATGCAGTGCTGGCCATATGGTTCTTAAGAATGGGTTAGCTGCCCAGAAGTGTCTATATTAGAATTCCCATGAAGAACCGAGAATGGAAGAGAGCTGACTGAATGAATTAACACTAAATTTGAGGTCAACCACATACCACATCCGGTCTTAATCTCATACCCCTTGCCTCCTTTGTGTGTATGGGGGACAAGGGAAGGGCTGTTTGGAGGCTTGAATGTGTTCTTGCTTAGCTTTTTAGCTTATGGCTGGTGTCTACCACTTGATTCACACCTCTAGTTCCAGTTCTTTACTGGTTGATGTTGAGCCCCTCATTTATCTGCCCAGGCTGGCGTTGAGCTATGCGCCTTAGATCTCAGCTTCCTGATTGCCTAATTATAATAAGCATGGTTGTGAGCCACTAGTGCCTGGCTTCTTCTTTTTTTTTTTTTTTTGCCAGTGTCTTAACTATGTGGTTTAGGCTAGCCTCAACTTTAAAATCTTCCTGCCTTCATGTTCCCAGTACTAGGATTACAGAGGTGTGCAACCTCTCCTAATCCCAGCTCGCAGATCTGCCAGGCAGTTTCTACTTCATGCCTCAGTTCCTCACAGATCACCATAGATTTAGTGGCATAAGACAACACAAGATCCTCCTCCTCTTCTAGGAGTTTGAAGTTAGGGTACTCTCACGGCTCCAACATCTGCAGACCCCAGGGAGGATTGCTACCCTTTCTTTCCAACCTTGTACTTTCCAGCTTCCTTAGCTTATGGCCCCTTCTTCCAGCCTCATCCTTGATGTGTCGATCCCTTACCCCAGTTGTCACATAGCCTCTGCCTTAGTCACTTCTGCAAAGTCCCTTCTACCATATAAGGTCACAGATGCCTGGGTCAGGGATTGGGTCATGGGTGTGGTTGGGGGTGCTACACTGCATCCTGTGCTGACTCCACTGGAAATTAGGACTGTCTATTCCTGCCACGGCATGGCTACTGGTTGGGGCCAGGTGACACAGAGCTCCCTCCAACAAGCTATGGTCAAACCTGGCCCTGGGTACCATCCCCAGCCAGCCTAGAAGCCTTGCTCAGCTCATAACTTGTAAATCTCTCGCACTGTCTAAGCCGTCTGTGTAGCCCAGGCTGGTGTCACAGGCCTGCTGTTTAGCGCCAGGGAGACAGAGGGAGGATGATCAGAGTGTTAGCCTGGCTCTATAGCAAGACTGTGAATGGAAGGGATCGGCCTGACACCTCGTATGGCCATAGCTGAGTGCTTTGTGCTGTGAGGCCCTCAGTCCTTCGGAATGGCATGGTATCAGTGCATCTTCCACATCTGTCAGGACCTGGGAAGTGCTGTGCCACGTGAGGCTGGCTGGCTTGTGGATGGGACCAGTGCCTGGCAGTGGCGGCAGGCCACAGCCAGGCTCAGCTCCTAGCTCAGCACTTGCTAGCTTGTGACCCTGGGCACTGAAAGAGTCTCACCCTTCATTTTGCCCAGCCTAGTGCTGTCTCCCCTTCCTTGCTTGGTGGCTTCAACTTCCCAGGTGTGCCATGGCATGCCTTGGGCTCATTGCAGAGTACAGGCAGCCAGTGGGCTGAAGTTGAATGGAGATGGGAAGAAGGCCAGGGAAAGGGCCAGGTGTTTCCTGTCTTCTGGCTCCATTTCTGCCACTTCTGCTTATCCTCAAGCCAGTTGCTATAGCCAGGGGCATCTAGTGCCCTGACTGAGCACCAGGGTTTCCATGCCCACCCACACTCTCCATTCCGGAAGTGCTGAGGCAGTGTGCCTGCCCCACAGCCTGGATTGGTTTCCGGGGCCCATCTTGTTGTGCCAAGTCCAGCCTGGTAAGCCATCTGGCAGCAGGCAGCAGGCTGGTTCCCGTGCACACAAAGTGGGTCCTGGGGAGCAAGTTTCTGGGGGTATTTGGTGTCCTAGCCCCACACACTGCCCATGCCTCCATCAGGCATCCCCGGACTAAGACTGGTCCAGGCTGTGTCCTGCCTTCTTCCTGGCAGTGGGAAGTTCCCACTGTACCAACCTCAGTGACCTAGCCAGAGCTCCCAGCTCCCAGTGCCCAGCCTTGGGTGTAGCATGGGCTGGGGCTTCCAGAATCTTCTTTGCTCATTGGGCAGAGCACAGTTCAGGTTATGAAGAAGGATGGGTGCTGCTGTTCTAATGCAAACCCACACCGCGCATGCTCCATCAGGCTTCTGCCTTGCCTTCCAAAACTGATCATGTCCCTTCCTCTGCTTTAAAAATCTTCCCAAGGTTGCAGACGCCGAAGGATTGGCTTGGGAGCTCCGGAGTAGCTGCTGTCGCCAGAGTCTGGAGCCATGAGCGGGTTTAATTTTGGAGGCACTGGGGCCTCTACAGGCGGGTTCACATTTGGCACCGCAAAGACATCAACAACCACACCCTCCACAGGGTTTTCTTTCTCTGCTTCGGGCACCGGATTGTTTAATTTTGGGACTGCCTCCCAACCGGCTACAACCACCCCTACCACCAGCCTGTTCTCGCTCACGACCCAGGCTCCAGCCACACAGACTACGGGGTTCACTTTCGGAACAAATCCTGCTTCTGGAGGAAGTGGCTTTTCTTTAGGGATCAGTGCCCCAAAGCTAAACTTGACCAGCACAGCTGCCACCTCTGCCCCAGCAAACACAGGCGGCTTTGGGCTTGGCAGCAGCACGCTCACCAATGCCATATCAAACACCAGCACCTCCAGCCAGGGGGCTGCCCCCTCTAGCTTTGTGTTTGGCTCCACTGCCACCACCACCACTACCACCACCACCTCCACAGCCCCAACCACCACATCTGGAGGGTTCTTGTTCACCAGTGGAGGTGCAGCCCAGTCCGGGGCCTCTGCATTCAACATTGGCTCCTTGGGCAGTTTGGCCCAGCCCACTGCCCTTCCCGGGTTACCCTTCAGTGCTACCACCCCAGCAAGCACCGGGGCTGGGGCCAGCACCGCCCCTGCTCCCACCACCACCACCACCACCACCAGTGCGGGGCCCACCCTCTTTTCTTCCATAGCTGCTGCCCCCACCTCGTCCACCACCCCGGGGCTCTCCCTTTCAGCCCCAGCAACCACAGCTGGGGCTCCCGGAGCTGGGACACTGGCCTTCAGCCTGAAGGCCCCCGGAGCAGCTTCTGGCACCTCCTCCAGTGCACCTACGGCCACCACCACCACTACCACCACCAGCAGCGGCGGCTTTGCCTTGAGTTTAAAACCACTTGTGCCAACCGGGATCCCCAGCAACACAGCAGCTGCTGTGACCCTTCCACCTGGCACCAGCACCACGACCGGGGCTGCTGCCTCCCCTGTGATGACCTATGGGCAGCTGGAGAGCCTCATCAACAAGTGGAGCCTGGAGCTGGAGGACCAGGAGCGCCACTTCCTGCAGCAGGCCACCCAGGTGAACGCCTGGGACCGCACGCTCATCGAGAACGGGGAGAAGATCACCACCCTGCACCGTGAGGTGGAGAAGGTGAAGCTGGACCAGAAGAGGCTGGACCAGGAGCTTGACTTCATCCTGTCCCAGCAGAAGGAGTTGGAGGACCTGCTGAGCCCACTGGAAGAGTTGGTGAAGGAGCAGAGTGGCACCATCTACCTGCAGCATGCCGACGAGGAGCGTGAGAAGACATACAAGCTGGCCGAGAACATTGATGCGCAGCTGAAGCGCATGGCCCAGGACCTCAAGGACATTATCGAACATCTGAACACATCTGGCGGCCCCGCCGACACCAGCGACCCTCTGCAGCAGATCTGCAAGATCCTCAATGCGCACATGGACTCGCTGCAGTGGGTCGACCAGAACTCCGCCCTGCTGCAGCGCAAGGTGGAGGAGGTGGCCAGAGTCTGTGAGGGGCGCCGCAAGGAGCAGGAGCGCAGCCTCCGGATCGCCTTCGACTGAGGCTGCGCGGCTGGGCCATCCCGTCTTCTTGTTCTTCCTTTCAAGTGATTGTGCTGTTGGGAGAAGTGTTGTGTGCTTTGATTTCTAGCTAGCAAATGGCAACTGTTTGGACCCCTCTGATCCAGGCAGAAACCTTGAGAATGTTTTTGTGTTTATACTTGCGTCCCGGCCCCTTCTCCCCTCATTCCTACCCCCACCCCATTCCCTGGCCAAGGGACAGAGAAGTGCTGGCCCTGCAGCCACCCTTGTCCAATGTAGTCATGGGTGCAGGGCGAAAAAGACTGCGGCAAGGAGGCTGTCCTCACAGGAGATGACAGCCTGGTCTTAGAGTACAAGATGTCTGCTTGTGACAACTAACCAGAACCAGGGGCAGCTGTGAACTGGACAGCCAGCCAGCTAATGGGAGAGGAGCAGCCAGCTAAGGGGACCTGCACAGGGGTAGGGGTAGGGAGGGTTGGGGTGCAGAGGCCTCCTCTGCCATCTCATTTATCCTTGAGGAAGCCAGAGACTGCTCCACACCTGTGTGCTGTGCTTTCCCGGGTCCAGCCCAATTCCTGTTTGGTGGAGAACAGTGGCAATCAACCTGCCACAGCACCTGTCCAAAGAAACATCTGCCACCGTGGCCTCCCTTGCCAGAGGCCCTCGCAGCCCTGGCCCCGAGCTTCCCAATGCCAAAGCAGAGTAGCCACAATATCTACGAAGAAGCCAGCTGTGTCCAGGTATCTGTTTTCGCTTTGTGCTTTGCTGTACTCCTGCAATGCCTATGGTTGTATGTTGCTTTCTAAATAAAGTTAGAATTTTGAACTGAAGTGCTGTTGGTCTGTATATGTATTAGACATGGACTGAGCAGGTCCACGGCTGGAGCCAATATCATTGGTCTGGAAGGCCAAAAGGAGCTACCCACCAGTGCAGGAGGAAGCCCCTGTGTGGTAAGAGGGGGTGACATGACTCCAGCTGTTCCCCATGTGGGGACTTGTCCTCTGCCACCATCCTGAAGGCATCAGCCTAATGGGTCAGGTGGTGTCTGTCATCCGGGGCTGGCTGGAGGGTTCTGCTGTGCTTCAGTGGGGTGCAGATTTGTGTGGGAGGGTGACTTCCAGCTACTGGCCTCACCCCTCCACAAGTGGGGAGGTGGCCTTTTGCCCTCCCTCTCCTATTCCACTCAGTTTGCAGCTTCACAGCCCTGTTTCTACAAGTCTTACAAAGCAGAGATGCTAGGCAGTCATCATTTCCTTGCGCCATCTTGGCCTCTGAAGCACACAAGTTTTGAGGGATTTTTTGGTCAGTTGTGGGCCTTGAACTCAGGGCCTAGCTCTCCCTGAGCTCTTTTTGCTCAAGGATAGTTCTACTACGAGCTTCAGCTCCACTTCTGGTTTTCTGGTGGTTAATTGGAGATAAAAGTCTCACAGGGACTTTCCTGCCCAAGCTGGCTTTAAATCGCAATCCTCAGATCTCAGCCTCTTCAGTAGCTAGGATTACAGGCATGAGCCACTGATGCCTTTTTTTTTTTTTTTTTTTTTCTGGGGAGGGGAAGGGGTAACAGGGTTTATAAAAGTATGGAATAGGGGCTGGGAAGGTGACTCAGTGGTAAAGTGCTTGCCTTGCATGCATGAAGCCCTGGGTTCAGTTCCTCAGCACCGCATAAGCAGAAAAAGCTGGAAGTGGTGCTGTGGCTCAAGTGGTAGGGTACTAGCCTTGAGCTGAAGAGCTGAGGGACAGTGCCCACGCCCAGAGTTCAGGTACCATGACTGGCAAAAAAAAAATATGGAATAGTTCAAGTTTGTGTGTCATCCTTGTGCAAGGACCATGTTAATCTATAATGTTCCAATTTTAGCATGTGTGCTGCCAGAGTGAGCACAGGACATGAGCTTTGTTCCAGTAGATGCTGTAGGGGTACGGGAGAATGAGCTTAGAGGAGGGAGATACCCCCTCATACATCACCGCCTTGATCTTCAGTCCTTGGGCCTCGAACCCTGACTGGCTATTCTGCTCAAGGGGAGGCCTTGGTTTGCCTAGACTGCTGTCTTGTGTTCCAAAAATAAGTTGGCAGTTGAAGTGAAATGCCCACTTTGTCCCCTACAAAGGATCTTGGGCACTGTACTTTGAACAATACAAGTTCTTCAAATAAGTCAGGAAAATCACCATGTGTAGTCTCAGCAGGCTACTGGGGCAGTCAGGGAGGGGTCCCTATGGTTGCCACCTGTGGACATCCGCCTTCTTATAACTGTAGTTTACCTTTCCAGGAAGAAAACAGGCTGATCGTTGTAAGTTCTTCATTCACTAACATGAAGACAAATGTGACTGAATTTGGACTCAGAGGCTTTTAAAGGTGACTCTCCTTTAGTAAGCGCTTACCAAATTTCCTTCCCCCATTAAAGTCAGGCATACTGGTGCACACCTGCAATCCCAATATCCAGGAGGCCAGGGCTGCCAAAGTTTCAGTTAATTCTAAGTTTGGGCACTGTAAGAGGCAGCTGGTGTCCTGTGATCCCAGCTACTTGAGAGACAAATGTCAGGATAGTTCCCAAGACTCCATCTCAACTGATAAGCTGGGTGTGATGATTCTCATCTGTCATCCCAAATACACAGGGAGCATTTAGTGAAATTGTGATCCAGGCCAACATGGGGACAAGTGCAAAGACCCTATTTGAAAATTAGCTGCAGGAGCCAGAGGCATGGCTCAAGTGGTAGAGCCCTGCCTAGCAAGTACAAGGCCCCAAGTTTGAATCCCTGTACTACAAGAAACAAAACTGAGCTGGGCTGGGCACTGGTGGCTACTCAGGAGCCTGAGATCTGAGAATCACGGTTCAAAGCCAGCCCGGGCCAGAAAGTCTGTGAGACTCATCTCCAGTTAACCACCAGAAAACTGGAAGTGGCGCTGTGGCTGAAGTGGTAAAGTGCTAGTCTTGAGCTGAAGAGCTGAGGGACAGCATTCAGGCCCAGAGTTCAAGCCCCACGGTCAACCCAAAAATAAAAAACAGCTGGGTGCTAGTGGCTCACGCCTGTAATCCAAGCTACTCATACTCAGGAGGCAGAAATCTGAGGATCGCAGTTCAAAGCCAGCCTGGGCAGGAAAGTCCTTAAGACCCATCTTCATTCAACCACCAGAAAACCAGTAGTGCTGTGGCTGAGTGCTTACATTGAGCTGAAGAGCATAAGGATAGCGCCCAGGCCCAGAGTTCAAGCCCACAACCAACAGAAAAATTTTTACCACCAGGTTTTTGGCTTTTGAGATCCTCCAGATGGCCTCTTCAGGATTACAGACATGGGCCACTGGCTCCGCCAGGGTTCAAGTATGGCCTACAGCCCACTAGCACTTAACATTGAATCCCTTTCCAAGTGTCCTAGGCCCATCTCACCTCCAGACACCATCCAGCTTAGCCACCATGAACACCAAAGATTTTCCTGCCGGGTGACCTTGACTGGACCTAGGGTCATAGCAGGTCATCCCCTGTGTCTAATGAGATAGCGTCCTTTCCCAAGTCCACAGAACTAGAAGCTACAGGCTATCACTCAAATACAATGTGGAATCTCCATTGGAGTCTTGATTCATACAAATTTAAAACTTGAGATGATCCCAAAAATGTAAACCTTGATTTGATGGTATTATATTGCCATTTTATAGTATGAAAGTGGTATTGTAGTTTTCTTTCTTTCTTTCTTTTTTTTGGTCCAGTCGTGGGGCCTGAACTCTGGGCCTGGGCACTGTCCCTCAGCTCTTTAGCTCAAGGCTAGTGCTCTACCACTTGAGCCACAGCGCCACCTCCAGCTTTTTTCTTTTTGCTTATGTGGTGCTGAGGAATCGAACCCAGGGCCTCATGCATGCAAGGCAAGCACTCTACCACTGAGCCACCTTCCCAGCCCCCTGTAGTTTTATTTCTTTAAGTGTGTAAGTTCTCTTATAGAACATGGGGGCAAACTATGAGCCTGTGTTCTGTTGTTGTCAATAAAGCTTTATTGGAACACAGCCACGCCCAAATTTGCATATTGTGGATGGCTGCCTAGAGACAAACCACAAAACCTGTAAAGCTTCCACTCTTTCTGGGAAAGTTTGTGATAGAAAACTTCCCAAAGTATTAACCTACAAAATAATAGGATGTGGCTGAAAGAATGGAGGCTGTGGAGTAACGGGCACGCTGGCGTCTGTTTCTGTGTGTGTTAGAAAGTGTCCAAAGTAGCACACTTTGGAAACAGGAGGTCCTGCCCACTGCGTCCTCCCGGCTGCTCAGACCACGCCTCAGGACCTGGCCACCGTCATTCGCCTGGTTCTGCACATACCCAATGATGACTTCTGTCCCTGGCTAAGCAGAAAGGCCATGGGCACTAAGCGAGCCCCCCTGAGCCAGCTATGCAGTGAGTGCCCCTCACCTGGGGTCCAGGGTGTTCTGGAAACTGGGGAAGGAGGGCTCTGGGAAGGAGACCCCTCCCTGGGGGTCGGGGCAAAAGATCAGGGTCTCAGGTAAGTGTGTGGTGTGCTCCCTCCCATCCAGCCTGGTTCTCGGACAGCCCTGCCCCCTGACGGGGGTGGGGGCAGTCTCCAGACAGACACAGCAGGAGCCAGGTCCCTGGGGTGCGGGGCTCCCCAGATCTGACTGCTGTGCACATGACTTAAACACTAGAACTGTCACCATCCGTGTCATCATGAGGCTGGCTGGAGTTGACCAAACCTAGGAGGGTTTTTCCACCATTTTTCCCTGGAAGACTCCCACTTGTTTCTTAGAAGCAGAATTTCCCCCAAACCAACTGAAGCAAACAGGTGTTTGGTGTGGCTTCCTTACCCCACCCTCCTCCACTTTTGTCTTACAACTTTGGCTGTCTCTCAAACTAACCAGCGCTGCCCACTGGCCTCCTGGGCTCAGGCCTTTCTAGCCTCACCTCACCTAACCCAGCATGATCTCCAACATAATAGGCAGGTGTGGTTCTTAAGCTTGGTATTTGTGGCTCATGCCTATCATCCTAGCTACTCAGGAGGCTGAGACCTGAGGATTATGGTTCAAAGCCAGATGAAACACATCTCCAAAAAGCCAGAAGTGGAGCTGTGGCTCCAGTGGTAGAGTGCCAGCCTTGAGCAGAAAAAGCTCAGGAACACTCCCAGGTTCTGAGTTCAAGACCCAGGATGGTGTGCACGTATGCACACGCACGCGTGCGCACGAACACAGACACATACACACACACAGCTTGACAACCTGAAAAGCAATCCCTAGTTGATTCATGACCTGACCCCAAACCAAAGCAAACAGGTGGCTGGGGGCAGTGGGAGTGGGGAGGAAGTTGCTCCTTCCTGTTTTCCCAGCTGTCTCAGGGCAGTTCTTTGCAATTATTCCCAATGTTGGCCCAGATTTCCACCCCACCCCCACCCCCGTGGTGCTCTGAAGGGCCACTTTGCCCCATCCCACATCACTCCATCTGAAGATGATTTGGGTGTCTCCCCATGGGAAGGGGGGTGCTATGGTGTCAAGTGGGCAGAGACTTAGGGGTGTTGACCCCTACCATGCCGCAATGGCTCTATAGAACACACCAGGCTGGGCGGGGCTGTGAGCAGCAGGCCACTCCCCCACACCTGGCCCAGGAGTCCTCCCTACTCCTTTCACTATAAGTCCTCCTGTGTGTGGACATCTGAGCTTGAAACTGGGCCTCCAGGCAGAGGCCAGGCCACTGTTTGCAGATGTGGACCAGCTGTGCTGTTTTCACTCTGGCTCTCCCAGCAATCCACACCCGGCAGCATGCTGTGGGGGTTTCCAGCCCATTCCCAGCAGCACCTCACCCTTTCCTGCCTCTGCTTCCCTCCTTCAACCCGGGGGGATGCTTG